TTGAATGACTACAGTCACTTCAGAGCCTGGCAGCTGGTGAAAGGAATAGAAAGGAGAGGAAGCAGGGAGTGATGGTTCTTTCTGTAGCATGGAGCTTGCTTTCATGGCTTGATTTCCCCAAAATGCTACTTGTTTCTTTTGGAAATTTTTACAGTCATAATTAAGAATTATAATGGAATGAAATTATATTCCCATCCTATCCAAAACACATTAATTTCCTCTTGAAATATTAATCATGAAATTCCTTATTTTTCTAGAAATTGACTGAGTAGATCAAACATGTTATTCTAAACAAAGGAAGAGAGAATTTTGTAGTTAATGGAAAGTATGCATTAAAAACTTTCTAAGGTTAGGTATTTAGCAAACTAAAGCAATTTATACCTTTTGTGTGTGTGTGTGGTTTTGTTTTGTTTTTGCTGTTCTGGGAATTGAATGCAGAGCCTCATACATGGTAGCCAATTAATCTAACACTGAATACACCCCCAGCCCTTTGATTTCTTTTTGTTTTGGAAGAGTTTTTGGTTGTTGGTGGTGTTTTGAGACAACGTCTCATACGTTGCCCAGGCCCTCAGGCTTTCTAGTAAGTAGGATTATAGACATGCTCCACTGTGCTGGGTTTCGTGTTGTTTAAGGAATATAGTTTAGATATAGCTCAACATTTACAGTTGTAAGTAGTATATACAGTTCTTAGCTTGCAGAACAGTCTTGTATAATCTAACATAAACTTTTAATATCATCATTTAACGAAGGCTGCTTAAGCTTTTGGATCTATGCCATTATCTGTTACTGCAATGAGAGAGGGCACATGTGCACTTGGTGGTAGATAAACCATGGTTGAAAGCCCCTCTTAGAATAACTCTTCAGGGGGTCTATTACCGTCCTCCAAGTCTGTGCATGAAAAAGTAGACACTGAGACCACCATGCACTACACTGCAGTGGGAAGACATTTAAACAGGAAAAGAGACAAAAATAGACCAAATAGAGAGAGGCCTGGTCAACAAAGGAGGAAAAAGAAAATGAATATGGAATAACAGAGTTAAAAAATAAAATGTCACCCAATAAAAGGACAGGTAGAAAAAGAAGTAGGTAAAGTGGGTAATGGAGAAATAAGTACTTTTCTTACAAAAGTATGGGGAGTAAAAAGCAAGGAGAAAAGGCTATACTTTATCTAAATATAAGAAATTAAAACTTCAGTGTTTTACTCAGATAAGAATATATATAAGACTAAGTAGACAGCCCAGAATCTCAGAGATTCCTTAAACCAACCATGCCTAGAGAGATTATAACTGAAATTCAACCCTGAAGTTCTTGCCATGCTGCCTGAACAGGAATTTTGATGTAGAAAGCATGGGTCTCACAGTTCATAGTTCAGATATTAAGTAAGCATTTCAAAATATTCTTACATAAAAAAATCATGCCAGATGTAATTCTCATTTATTTTTCTTGTATATCCCTTGGTTTCTCATTTCTTAGGGTACTTTGGATTTTAACTACCCCTACTCAATAATAGAAAAGCAAGGTCTAGAAATGTATTCCACAGTCAGAATTTTTACTGTGATACACAGAAGTCCTGTGAGGACCACTTTCACTGTTTAATGTTCTGATATTTAAAGGGGGCATTTAACCAACAATGTGTGGTTTCTTTCAGATTTTAAAATATTTATAAATCTCATATAAAGAGCAATTTTAATGGATAAAAGCCATAGGCCTTATTTCTTTAGCCTCAGAAATTAAATTGGACATGGCTACTTTACACACCGACAACTTAATTTTGATAACCTTGGGTGGTCGTAGTTGCAGAGTGAAAAACTGTTGGTCCATTTCTTTACTGTAAATTTTTACTATTCAGAAGTATTTTTTCCAATCTTAATTTCTTAATATTTGGGATCCTGAGTGTTGACTTCTGAGTTCTCTGATCTTAGTATAGCTCATATGAATTGAAAAGCATTCTCTTCCTTTATTAAGTTCCTTTCTTCAGAAAAGGTATCCAATCTGGGCGTGGTAGTTCACACCTGTAATCCCAGTGCTCCGGAGGCTAAGACAGGGGGATCCTTGCAAGTTCAAGGCTAGGCTGGGCTACATAGTAAGTTCAAGGCCAGCCTGAACTACATGGCAAGACCCTGTCTCGGGGGAAAAAAAAAGAAAGAAAGAAAAGGTATCCAGTTTAAGTTCTGAATTTTACGAATCTTTAACAAATATAAAAATTGAAAAAAGGCATTTTGATAGATTTAAACATATTATGGAGAATAATCCTAATAAGGTCTAAATTATAACAAAAGTGAATTGTGTGAGTAGTTTTATTATTAAATTGTCCAAATGGGACACATTGCTGAGTGGTAATCTGAAAATCGGTAGGGACGTTAGTAAATTGCCAAATCCTTTCTAGCACTGGGCTCTCTTGGTAGAACTGCTAACTCATATGAAAACACTTGAACAATCAAACCTCACTATTAACCATCAATAAATTAACCCAGCAAACTTGCAAAATGTAAAGATGAAGCTTGCTTTCACATATTCACATTGTTTGAACTGAGGGAAATTTCAGCTGTTTATAGTTCCACCCTAACTTTTTCCTCTTCCTTCTTCTTTTCTCATTTTTTTGTAGCACTTTTGGGGCCCAGTAGCCAACTGGGGTCTCCCAATTGCTGCCATCAGTGACATGAAAAAGTCTCCAGAGATTATCAGTGGGCGGATGACATTCGGTAAGGACTCAGACTGGGATAAGGAGGACTATACACCTACGAGAGCCTTTGCTTATATCCTACATTCATAGCACTAAATGCTATGTTATGATCACTGTTAGAAAGTCACTTAAAAGAATATAATGGCACTGAAGAGTATACTACCTGTCTATGCGACGGAACAGGATTTGAAGTATTTGAGATATACTGACATCCCATTTGCCTTTCAGATTTAGTACATCCAGTTGAAGAATGTGTTGTTTTAATAGCCAGCCCAACAGATTTATATTGTAAACTCAGTTTGGCAAAGTGTCACTAAGCTTACTTGAAAACCCCAATATTTAAACATAAAACCATTATTGAAGGAATAAATAGCAATTCTTTCAGATAATGGGTTATAAACAATTCTAGGGAGACAGAAAAAACAGCAGGAGCTAATTTCAACTTATTCTCACAAATATTTTTCTAAAAAAATAGTTAATAACAAAAGGGCCCACAGTACAGTAAAATATTTCATGAACTTTCCATTCCTAGAGGCATGTAAGCAATAGCTTTTACCATCTTCTAAGGTTTAGCAAAAGAGTTCTTTTTGACTAACAAAATTGACCTATTAATCTCTGTGGGCCTCTCAACCCTAAGTTGTGTGTGTGTGTGTTTGTGTGTGTGTGTATGTGTGGTGCTAGAAATCAAACCCAACACCTTGTGCTTGCTAGGCAAGTGCTCTACCACTGGGCTACATCCCCAGCCCCCTGAGTTTTCTAGGTGAGTTACTGATGTTCTTTGCTTTGATATTTTTGCAGCCCTCTGTTGCTATTCTTTGACATTCATGAGATTTGCCTACAAGGTACAGCCTCGAAACTGGCTTCTGTTTGCATGCCATGCAACAAATGAAGTAGCCCAGCTCATTCAGGGAAGTCGGTTGATCAAATACGAGTAAGCAGATTCCAGTTGAATTATTTTTGTTTGGGGGAATTGGGGTCAATGAAATTGAAATCTTATCTTAAGAGGGAGTAGGGAACTTGGGTATGAGGCAGTGGGGAACTTGTCTAGATGGGGAAACCTGACTTATTAAACATCAAAGTTAACAAAAAATAGGAGATTACTGTTTTTATAAAATCATAAGGCATAATAAATGTTAGTTAAAGGTGTCTTTGAAAGTCATGTAGAGTCTCAGCCTGGCAGTGAAATTGGTTTTTCATTTGATTTCTTTGTGATTATTTCCAGAATGAGTAAGAAGGCATCTGCTTAGCAATGGGAAGAACCAGCTCTTTAAGGGACAGCACCCTAGCCACTGCTACCAACTCACAGATTCCATCAGCATAAATAGTCTTGCTAAGGAGAAAACAAACAATGCTATTTTTACTACCCATACCATTTTTATATAAATAGCTGAGAGTCCCTAAACCAACTCTCTGCTGCCTTATGATACTGATTATTTTATTTCTCTTTGTGAAGAGTAGCTCAAAATATGCAACTAATTTAATAATTTCTGATGATGGTTTTATCTGCAGTAATATGTATATTATCTAGTATTAGTGAAAAATTAAAGAGAACAAAATTTTGTAACTAGTTGCACTTAAGTCCTCAAAATCCTTGGCTTTTTATTTAATGACCACATGCTATCCAATAGCTGACCATACACCTAAAATCTGATTTCCTGTATTTCAAAAGTATCTGTGTATTTTCATGCAGTGTGTATATTAAGATGCTGTAACTTTATGGCAATAAATGATTTAAATATTTGTTATATGAGTATGACTATCTTGTTATATTTGTTAGGAAACTTAAGAACTGTATACCTGAAAAGATGCAGGTGAAAAACAGAAGGACAGTATTAAAATAATAGTGGTTGCATGGTGGAAATGTGTAAGCAAAGACTTGGGTTGATGTAAAACCTGGTTATTTTAAAAGCCCAATAGTATATAGAACTGGAAGGCCAGTTTCTTCTGGAAAACACCAGAGCCCCGGCTATTCAGAATGTATGTGCCCTGGGGTCACCAGCCTGTTCTTTCTTTGGGGCCTCACTCACCCCTTCTTATAGAGGGAGCATAGTGCAGAAGCTGTGAAATACCCGGTGCTTTGTAGGATCAGGCCATTCCATCTGCCCTTGGCTCCCTTCCTGCCAGTGCATCTGGGGCCATGGCAGGACAGACTCAGCTGGGAACAGTGCCAATCCCTACCTCCCTTGGGCTCATTCTTCCACAGTAAGCTAGAGTTGAAGTTGGTTAAAGGAACCAGTACTGGGCCCATGAATTGTATCACTAAGTTTAACAGTTTATTTTATTTTATTTTATTTATCATATAAACCACACAGGCAGAACATAACAACCATGACCCTTCTAGGCCTTCTTCTTCTTGGCCCAGCATGGCCTCCAGATTTATCCACCACCAAGTTTTGTAGTTTTGAATCGTTCTCTTCCACCTGGAGTACTGAGGAGCAAGGAGATTCTTCACACATTCTCAGGAAGGTTGGCCAGCTTCTCACAGGGGTGGCATTGAGGTACACCAGCTACAAGCACAAAGAGCTGCAGGGATGCACGAGTAATTGCTACAGGAAATAAGAGCAAGAGAGGCCATGATGGGAGTTCAGTCAGTGGTTCAGTCCACTTAGTGACAGGCCCATCAGCCCCTGGAGCTTTGAGGTATAAGCACCCTGTGACCCAGCAATCAGTATCTGCAAATGCAGAAGGCAGCCTCTGAGTGCACTAAGGGAGCCACAAGCACCTTGCTCACTGAGAGCACCACAGGAATCTGAGCTGTCATATTGCACACAGCTGAGCACTAAGGAGACAGCAGCAAGAGAGCAAAGTAAATGACTGAAACAGGGCAGGGTATAGATTTTCCTATTGGAACCTGATTCGTAATTTCCTACAGCATTGAGACCAGCCATGAAGAAATATACTCCAAGATTTTTCTTAAATTTCTCAATTGCTTTAAATTCACCATATCCAACGTCAACTGTTAGCAAAAAGGACACTCAGGACAGCTGGGAGTTCAGCTTATAAGTAGTGGTTTTGTCAAAAGAAAACTAGGAGGTACGCATTTAACCCCAGTGGACTTGGAGACAGAAATCTTGGGCAAAACAAAGACCCAGGCCCTGGGAAGCTTCTACAACTTTTTCCTTTCTCCTGGGAATTCTTTGAGGTTTCTCTTCTGGAGACGTGTAAGTACATTATCTCAGCACTTGGTGAGCATCCAGTTTGTCCCAAGAAAGCAGTGTACATGGCAGTGTTCAGTCTCAAGGACTAGAGCTGAGATCCAGCCTCATCTGCACTGGCTCTAGCCATGGTGACCTCAGCATTCTGGCATGAATTGGAGAACACATCAAGTGATGAAGACACATTGCTACAAGAGGATTGGGATTAAAGTAATGGTGATGGCACGATGAAAATGGCCAACTGCTCACAGGAGTGGCTGTGATGAAAACGTGGCAAGCCAGCCTCTTGATGTAAAAGCCTAATAGTATACTCAGAATCTTAAGTGACTACATAAGACATTCTCCCAAAATAATTCTAAAAATTAAAACCAAATATTTTTAAAGTAACATACAAATAATTTGAAGAGTCAAATGAGTTGTGACTTCCAACATGACTTTGATACCAGCTGTCAACAGTGGAGTACTGAACTGGTCTAGGCGGTAATGGCAGTTCCTTCATAATCCTAGGGCAGAGGTGACAGTTTTGAAGGCTTTCTTGCACAACCCAGAACCTCCAGGCCTGACTATGTCCTGGCCCACAGGGTGCATCCCCAGGCTGCCAGGGTGAGGAAATGAGAGTCAATGGCCTTTTGTTCCCTTAATTCTCTTGAGTGGAGATGCCTTCAGGTCACAGACCTCATCTTTTATAGTCCTCTTTCCACGCTCCATGTAATGGCAATGTAGTTCTGCTACTTTGAACCTGAAGTTTGGTGCCATGACTCTTTTTACATTTTTATTTTGGGTTTCTCAGATATATTCTTAGGTTACTTAGGATGGAGAGTGTACAGACAGGAATGAGAAGCCCAAATTGGCCTAATACCCAAGGACACTGAAATTACATCAGATTGCTGAGAAGACATTTGGTAACGTCAAAATTGTCATTTCTGTTTTAAGGTCTAGGAGAATACTAAACATCTAGGCTGTGTCATCACAAGCAAAGAACAAGCAGCTCTGAGGACAGTCCTGGGGGATTAGTGTCCTTAGAGACTGAGAGAGGTGGAGACTGTAGAGGACTTAGAGAGAAGCCATCAAAGTTAGGAAGGTGCAGTCCTCATGTTTCTGCCCCAGGCAGCTGCTAAGAACTGACCTCAGCCAGTTCGGTTCTGCAGGACTCCCAGCACTTTTTTGTTGTTGTTATTTTTGGTTGATGTAACATTAAGTGCAGGATTGGCTCCTCTGCCAATCTTGTTGGGAAAGCTAGCTGCAGGCCAAAATCTACCTTATCTGCATTTAGCTGAAGTTCATTAGCCTGCAGGCACAGATGCTTGCTCTTCGCCCATAACCTGTTGGGGGAGGGGCTGTGAATTGAACCTAGGGCCTTTTGGTTGAGCTTCTCATTTCCAGCCCTTTTAAAATTAATTAATTCAGAGACAGAGTCTCACTAAGTTGCTAAATTGCCCAGGCTGTGATCCTCTCATATTATTTCTCTCTCCCTCTCTCTGTATTACTGGGATTTGGGAATTAAACCTAGGGCCTTTGCATTGAGCTGCATCTCCACTCCTTTTTTTTTTTTTGGTTCTGAGAATCGAATTCAGGGGCTGGAGCTTGCCAGGCAGACACTGAACTGCTGAACTACATTCCTGGCCCTCCACTCCCTTTTTATTTTTTATTTTGATTCAGGATCTTGCAAAGTTGCCAGGGCTGGGCTCAAAATTGTGATCCTTATGCCTCAGCCTCCAAGAGTGCTGGGATTACAGGTGTATGCCACCAGGCCCAGCTTCTCCCATATTTTTAAAGACCTCCAGCTCATTCTTTCCAGATGCTCTAAAAGCACCGTCTATCTAAAGTTTTTCGGCCACAACTGATAATTCCTACCTAAACTAGTAAGTTCATTAAGGGTGATATAATGATTTTCTATTTCTATTTACAGGGTGGTCTCCTGTAAAGTGGAAGTTTATTAATTATTTGTAAATCGTTCCCCTTACAAATATCCTACTGAAAAGACAGGATACAGGCTCAATTAAATCTATCCTTTTCTATCAAATTTTGCAACTAAGGAATTAGTGTCATGGCTATTTCAGCTGTAATAATTACATTGAATTTTTTGTTTTAAGCATGGTAATAGGCTCATGAATTTTCGTAGATTTAATGCATTTCTAACAACTATGACTATGATTATTTTGGGGGCACTCATGTCATAACTTTGCTCCCAAGGAAACCCTTTAAAGATATCCTTTTGACACAATTCCATTAATCTTCAAAAGCTTCTGTGTTTTCTGGCACAGGATGCCTCCTGCTAACCTGCTTCTTCACTGCTCTGACAAGGAAGGGATATTTTTTCAAGGAGCTCTGGTTAGGAGGAGTGGTGTTGGTAACCAGCAGGGACCCTTGTCAAGCTTGTGCCACCAAAGGGCCACCACTTCTTAGCCACTTCAGTAGACAGTGCCAACGGGAATTTTTCCCTAAAATCACAAATTCATATTAATATTTCCACTTCTATCCTAGCATGATATTTCTGTTCAATTTCTTTGGTTTGAATAATTGAACTGTTTTGTCTTATGCTGAATAACATTTCTCATAAAACAGACATTTCATACTTGTTTTATGTTAGAAAAATAGTTTAACAAAAAATATACCATTATTACCCCAAACTGAAACTATGGAATGAAAGCTCAGAATTTTTTTACATTTCTGTCCTTAGAATGCAACTTCTAAATATGTACATTTAAGTAAACGTTCTAAATTCACTTGAAGTCATTTTTTACTCCATTATGTGAAGACTTATGCCAAAGTAAAATTTAGCAAGGCGGTCCCCCCCCCACCCGCCCACTGTAACGGCTTCTGTACTCTAGCATCTGCTTGTTCTTAGAAGGTGACACCTGGCTACCAAGGATTGGAGGCCACTCTGCCTATGGCCTTTGAGATGGTCAACCTTCTGTGTCATTCATTCTGGAATAGCTTCAAATTTCCATTCTCATCAGTTAAGCCCAGTGAGCTCTGGGTGAACAATCAATTCTGCCTTTTACCACTGAGTTTCTAGCACTATACTAGAACCTAGATATTTTAACTTTTTGAACTTGCCCTGAGAGATTATCATGTTACAGTTTTATCTTGTGTCCTTTTTAAGTTATGACTCATACCCAAACTTTCTAAATGCCATACTATGTATTTTTGCACCACTGCTTGTATTGTATAAATTCATAAAATATCTCAGGTGACATTCCCTTGACCTAGTGTGACTTGGTGTTTAATTTTCCTATGGGGGCATTTCAATGAGTTATATAATATCTGCAGATTCCACAGGATAAACAAAGATGATGCAAGACTTTTAGGGTTTTTGTCTGAAATTTCCACTCTTTAGTCAAAATGCAGGCTTTGCTTTATTTGTGTACTTCCTAGTACAGCTAAACATTCTTCAAAGGACACTGGAGAGAAATTTCTTTGGTCAGTTTTAACAAGAGGCAAAGATCCATCCCAATACATATAATAGAGAAGCTCCAGACCCAACTGATGACACTTTTGGTGAGGTGCCCTGGAGAGAAGTACACATCACAACCCCAGACACTATTTCCTTAATTTTTGGCCAATAGAAGTAGTAACCTAAATATAATGGGTAAGCTCTAAAATAATGCTGATAGGTTGCCCCCTCTGAGACTTTATGAGTAACACCTATGGATTCTTTTCATGTAAACTTACTGCTTACTGGTAAATGGGCCTAAATAACCAAGGAAGATTAAAAGTCCATTGGCCCCCATGGAAAATCTCCAAATTAATTGGAGAACCTTAGTGTTAAAACAAAGAGTAAATGAATAAAGGGTTTATTTTCAACAGTACTTAGGAGCTTCTAAACACAGCTCAGAAAAAGATGGCATCCCTCCAACAAATTAACACAGTGTCTCTGAACTAAAAAGTCTTTTAGAGCTGCTTCGTCCTCCATGTCTCTGAAGGACTGCTGCCTTGGGGAAGGGAAAGGTGTCTTAAGGGAAAAAAACTAATTTTTGCCCTAGAAGTGAATAGTTGTTCCAAAGTAGGAAAGAGAGATATAGGACAAAACTAAAGACTTGGACAAGTTATGAAAGGCATGAGGAAGTTATAAAAGGACTATGGAAAGAAGTAGATTTTGTGGAAAAATTTTTTTCAATACTAGAAAACAAACTCATCACCTTGCATGCCAGGTATGTACTCTGTTGTGGAAGATTTTATGCATGATTAAATTGGTTAAAATATGTTTTCATAGAGGCTGAGTATCGATATCGAAGGTACATTGGTGTGAAATTTAAGTTTGCTTCCTGCATTCGGCAGAATTTTCTCAGAGCTTTGATTTGGACTTATTGGAAATTAGCAGGTTTGCTTTACTTCAGTTTTAACTCATATTGATCCTATCTAACTGTTTTAAACTTCTCATATGCTTG